AGAGGATTTTGAGTGAATCACTTGGCTAATGTCTTTACCAATTGGTTAATTGAACTAGGGACTTTAATCTAAGACCTAGGGAGGTTAGCTAATTAGGTTAATTGGCTTTGGATAATTTTCTTAAGTCATGACAGCTTTAGTCAAGAGGAAAGGGAAGCTAAACTTAGCTTAATCATGAGAAGATAATGAATTCAAAATCAACTAATCTCTAAAGTTCTATTATTGCAAAAAGGGAAGTTCATTTCACTCACTTTCACTAGCATTTTAATTACTTGCACATTAAGTAATTAGTTTAGATAATTAGCTAGGTAACTAAATTCCTACAAACTTTGGTTGATTTATTTCACTAGATAACTTTCAATTAGACTTAAAACCATTCCTTGGGAGATGACATAGGGTTGGCCCTATATTGCATTAGGGTTAGCTTTAGTGTAATTTTGAGGATAAGCAACTAATTTCCTATCAGATGCGTGGCATAGTGAGGGAAATCCTTACTTTGCTCACACACTTTGCTCCGGGACTCTACTCTTCTACTCATATCTATCCATAGAACATCTTAATGAGTTAATATAATACTTCACTACTCAAAACCCTAATCCCACATTAAATCACTAATTCATCCCTAATTAGTCATTAACATAGGATTAAAAATTCAATATGTTACAAGTTACAGCACTTGGAAAAGCTTATACTAAAAAAGAACAAGTCAAAAAAATTATGAGAGGACTCCCAGCTGAATGGCAACCTAAAATTACGCCCATTGAAGAAGCAAAAAGTAATTCCATAGGATTTGTGGCAGCTCTGTTTAGAAGTCTTACCGAGCATAAAGGAAGACTATCCATACTGAAGGAAGATGCTGATAAAAAAAAGAAGTCACTGGCCTTAAAAGTGACAAAGGAGGAATCTAAGTCTAAAGCAAGTGACAATGATGACTTTGATGAAGAAATGACTATGTTTATCAAGAAATTTAACAAATTCTTTGGAAAGAAAAAAGTTTAGGAAGAAATTCTTAAGGAAGAAAAAAAAGAGATAATTTAGTATAAATGCAAGAGGCTTGAACATATTAAGGCTAATTGTCCTCTAAAGAAAGAGAGTAAAAGCTACAAGTATGATAAGAAGAAATTCAAGGATTACCTCTTTTCAATCTGGGTGACAGTGATAAGGAGTCCACAAAAGAAGAAGAAGAAGCTAATTTGTGCCTAATGGCCAAAAGTTATTCTGATCAGGTAAATGATTCAGACTCTAACTCTGAATTTGATTTTACATTTGAAAAACTAAAAATTACTTTTTAAGAACTACACAATAAATCTTTTCTTCTTATAAAAAATCTTTCACAGTTAAAAAGAAACCTGCTATTTCTAAAAAAGAAAATTTATTTCTCAAAACTAAAAATGAAGCTTTGAAAAAGAATATTACTATTTTAGAAAAGGAAATTTCTTACATTGATTGTTCTCTTCATATTTATGAAAAAGAAGATTTGAAAGCAACTCTTGCAAAATTAGTTAAGGGTAGAGATAAATAAAATTTTGACTCAACAAAGAAGTGTTTTTGATAAAACTAGTATAGGTTATAAACCAATTAAGAAACAAAAATATTGCAGGAACTTCTTTGTTCTTACGACTATGACTAACTCACCCAAATTCACTTGTTCCTACTACAACAAGAAAGGGCACATGACTCAGTCATGTATCCATAAGAAGCAAGGTTGAGTGAAAATATGAAGTGGGTTCTAAAGAGGTCTACTAAAAAAAACATGACATTTATGCAGGTAACAAGGAGAGCCACAAATGAAAACTAGTATCTAGACAATGGTTGCTCTAAGCACATGACTAGTGATAGCTTCATGTTTTTATATATGGTGAAAAATAAAGATAGTGGAACTGTCATCTTTGGAAATAATAAAAAGGGAAGAATTTTTGGTACAGGTAAAGTTGGTAAGAATGCATCTAACTCTCCTTGTATTGATAATGTTTATTTAGTTAATAGTTTAAGACATAACCTTTTAAGCATAAGTCAATTATGTGACAAAGGTTATGGGGTTATTTTTAATGTTGTACATTGCATTATGAGAGATGACCAAATAGGAAAAACAATTCTAGAAGGAAAGAGAATTCAAAATGTATATTCAATAAATCTCTATGATGATAACTCACTGAACATAAAATGTCTCATCTTTGTGAATGATGAAAGTTAGTTGTGGAATAAAAGATTAACCCATGTCAACATGAAGCAATTGGACAAGCTTGTAAAGAAAGAACTTATCATTAGATTGCCTAAGATAAAATTCAAAGCTGAAAGTAGTATGGAAGCCAAACAAACTAAGACTATATTTCAAAGCAAAAATGTAGTATCCATATTAAGGCCTCTTGAATTGCTTCATATGGATCTAATTAGTCTTTCAAGGGCAAAAAGTCTTGGGGGTAATCATTACACATATGTTATAGTTGATGATTATTCTAGGTTCACATGGACTATCTTCATGTCTCACAACGATCAAACCTTTGAATATTTTATAGCATTTGTAGCCAAAGTACAAAATGAAAAAGTTTAAAAATTGCAAAGACAAGAAGTAACCATGGTGGAGAATTTGACAATTTCAACTTTATTAAGTTTTGTGAAGAATAAGGAATGAGTCATAAGTTCTCAACTCCTAAAACACCTCAACAAAATAGAGTAATGGAGAGAAAGAACAGAACCCTAGAAGAAATGGCAAGGACCATACTAAATGAGAAGAAACTTCTTAAATATTTTTGGGTAGATGCCATGAGTACAACATGCTACATGTAACATCCAAGAAAATTTAATCTTGGTTTATTAACCTAACGAAAGTAATTAATGAGTTAATGAGATGTGTAGCCAGAGGGGCTTAACTTGGTATATTTATGGTGATTTCAGCCCTAAAAGTGGTTTTGGATCAATGGTGAGGCACCCGGGCAAGGAAAGAGGAAGAAAAAGTGAAGAATTATCCTATGTGCCACATGCTATGACATGTGGTCAGTCTGCCATAATGCATAGAGAAGAATTTGAATGCAATGGGCTCTTCTGTGCCATGTGCTGTGGCAGATGGAAATGTCCGCTGCGACGTATGGGAAAAAATATGATAAATTAAACACGATCGACGTTGGATTGAGGTGGTTTTGGTGTCTACATGGAGCTTTCTCCTAGTTTTAACTAATGGTACCAGTTTCCCACTCAAACTCATTTTTTATAAAAAAAATTGGACACGAAAACCCATTTTGATTACTTTTTCATAAAATTTTATAAATGGGGTGTCAAATTATAGCACTAATGCTGTCAAAATTGTGCAATGTGCCGTGACACATGGTATAAAGAAGACAAGCCACGACACACATGCCGTAAGCTACAGTACACGTGTCATTTTCTACACAAAATCTATTTTTGAGTTTTAAAACTCATGATTTTAGGTCTCAATTGATTTCCAAGCTTCCATATTACTTTCAAAATTCTGATTTGAGACTATTAGATAATGTTTGAGATTCAAAATGTTGAATTTAGGATTCTTAAAAAAAAAGAATTGGAGAAATTCCTTTTTATGAAATTTTACAATTTAGTAATCCTTTGAGGGTTAATCCTTTGATTGCCATGATTTGGAGTTAAATAGTGGATTAGTAAGGGAGACCTTACAGTTTGATCTCTTGGTTCTTACACTTTAGTATTAGTTTCTCTAGTTATGAGAACTGGACTGTGGATTTATGAATGAGGTGAGTTTGCTTATGAATGGTGCATTTGCATATAGAAAGTTGCCAATTATCATTATATACATATTCTTTTCCCCTTTGAGCTAGTGTTAATTATTTTCCTTTTATGGGATTACTTCCATCCTTAGGAGGGAAGAATGGTGCAAATAAGAAATATGGCCGATAACATTCTAGAAAATGTATCAAGACAAGTGCGGGAAGTCTTAGTACAAGATGAGAATATTGTCCCTAGTGAGCATATTGAGATGGGGCAAGGTCAAGCTAGAGAGCAACTGAGACCTACAATGGGCAATGAGAATATATTGCTCAAGCATGATGGAAAGAATTGAATAGAGAATAGATGAGCATGATCAAATTTTGAAGAAAAGACCGAAAGAGTCAAGTAAAACTGTAGAAAGAGTTGGCGGTCATGGTAGTGTAAGACTAGAGAGGGAAGTACTTGACCAACAAGAGGAGGATTACTACAAAGAGAATAGATCGAGGAGGCCTGAACCAGTGAGGCCTAGAGGAAAAAAGCAAGAGAGCTATATTGATTTAGCCTTAAAGAAGTTCATAAGGTTGAATCCTCCGTCATTTGAGGGTTTTATGGAAAATAGAGCGGCTGAGAAGTGGATAGATCGGTTGGAGATGATCTTTTTCATTATGACTTGCATATCTGAGCAGTGGATATCACTTGTTGCATTCCTATTTAAGGATGCTGCCAAGCAGTGGTGGGAGAGTATGAGACCGACGGATGGGTCTTAGTTGACATGGAGTAAGTTTAAGCGGAGGTTCTTCTCCTACTATTTTCTTGCCTCCTTTAGAGTTGAGAAAGAGGCTAAGTTCACCAACTGTAGCAAGGAAACATGAATGAAGAAGCATTTATAGCAAAGTTTAACGTCCAAATACTTGACATACTTGAGGAATCATGATGATGAGTATTGAAAGGTCAAGCAGGTACCGGAGAAGATTCAGCCTAATTACAAACAACAGTTGGCACCTTTTAATATTGTCTCATATAGTGACATATGCAATAAGTTGAGAGCAGTGGCCAAACATAGTTGTGAGGTTGAGGACAACTAGAGGAGAGATGGTAGGGGCTATTTCTCTACACATACGAGTCCTATTAGAGGTGTTGGTAAGAGAGCTGGATATAGCTCTATACCATCTGGATTAGGCAGCAGTGGTAGTAAGAAGAGAAGCTTCCAGAGGGGTTCACATTCTAGAGGTTCCCAGATGAGGAGTAACACCCTCGAGAGTATTAGTGGGTAGAGTCAAGCTTTGAGACAGGATTCTGCTCCTATGATAATTGGACCGATTAGAGCCCCACAGTGTAGTAGGTGTGGGAGACACCATACTGGGGAGTGCTGGACATGTTTCAAGTATCACAAGGTTAGGCATATCACTCGGTATTGCCCAGAGAATGCTCCTCACACTTATCAGAGGTCTACCATTCTTGGTTGTGTGTTTTCTATGACAAGAGAAGAGGATGAAGTTTCCCCAAAGCTTATCCGAGGTATGTTTTCTTTAAGCAATCAATACAGTTTTGCTTTGTTTAATTCTAATGCTACTCACTCATTTGTTTTCGATGAGTATGCAAAAAGGCTGAGTTTGCATGTTGTTGAAATACCTTTCATGATAAATGTGTCTACACCAGTTAGTGCTTCAATAAGAACCAGTCGAGCTTACTTGAAAGTAGAGTTGAAATTTGGTGAAATAGTCACAAGTGTTAACTTGATTTGTTTACCCATATTAAGAATTGGCGTGATAATTGGCATAGATTGGTTGTCTACCAATGATGCGATGTTAGATTGTAATAGAAAGATGGTTTTATTACCAGTGTACAGGTGACCACAGCGAATGATGAGATTGCACAACTTGTATCTGTGACTACTTCAGAGAATCCTAAATTCCTATCAGCAATACAAGTAGAGAAATCAGTGAGAGAGGGATGTCAAACCTTCTTAGTGTTCTGCTCAGTACATGGAGTGTATGATAGTGCATTAGACAAGATTGGAGTTGTCAATGAGTTTCCTGAGGTGTTTGCAAATGAAGTGTCAGGATTGCCACCAAAGAGAGAGATTGAGTTCTCAATTGATTTAGTACCTAGTACCAAGCCAATCTCTAAGGCTCCATATCGGATAGCTCCAACAGAATTAAATAAGCTTAAAAAGCAGTTAGAGGAGTTATCAGAGAAGGGGTTGATTAGACCTAGTGTTTACCTTAGGGTTTGCCTGTTCTATTTATCAGGAAGAAAAATGGCAGTATAAGATTATGTATAGACTACCAGTAGTTGAACAATGTGACAATTAAGAATAAGTATCCATTACCCCGAATTGATGACTTGTTGGATCAGTTGGCTGGAGCAACAGTATTCGCTAAGATTGACTTGAGATCCAGCTATTACTAATTGAGAGTAAAAATGGATGATGTGCCGAAAATTGCTTTTAGAACAAGATATCAGCACTATAAGTTTCTTGTTATGCCTTTTGGACTGATGAATGTACCCATAATCTTTATGGATTACATGAACCGAATCTTTAGGCCCTACTTAGACAAGTTTGTAATGGTCTTCATTAATGATATCCTAATGTATTCGGTTAATGAGGAAGAACATGCTAAGCACCTGTAGATTGTGTTGCAAATTCTAAAAGAGAAAAAGCTATATGTGAAGTTGAGCAAATGTGAATTCTGGTTGTGTGAGGTAAAGTTTTTAGGTCATGTAGTATCAGCAAATGGTATTGCAATTGATCCTTATAAGGTGGATGCGGTACTGCAATGGGAAAAACTGACTTCTATGACAGAGATCCGAAGTTTCTTGGGTCTAGCAAGATACTATAGAAGATTTATTTAGGGAGTTTCCCACATTGCATCTTCTTTGACCTAATTGACTAAGAAAGATCCGCCTTTCATATGGACCGATAAGTGTGAAGAGGCTTTTCAAGAGTTGAAGAAAAGATTGACGACTACACCTGTGTTGACTATCCTAGATTCGAAATAGCCATTTGTAATGTATGCAAACGCTTCACTTAAGGGTCTCAAATGTGTCCTAATGCAAGATGACAGAGTTGTGGCATATGCTTTGAGACAATTAAGACCACATGAGGAGAACTATCCTACCCATGATCTTGAGCTTGCAGCAGTAGTATTTGCACTTAAAATATAGAGACATTACTTATATGGTGTGCAGTTTGAGGTGTTTAGTGACCACAAAAGTCTCAAGTATCTAATTGACTAAAAAGAGTTGAATATAAGATAGTAGAGATGGATGGAGTTCTTGAAGGATTACAATTTTGAGTTGAAGTACCATCCTAGCAAGGCTAATATAGTAGCTGATGCATTGAGCTGAAAGACGCTACACATAGCATTCTTGATGATGCAAGAGTACAAGATACTTGAGGATTTCTCTAATGAGCACAAGAATGTTCCTGATTTCGTGTCATACAACTTAAATCTATAGTAATTACAAGTAAGTTCTGGAAAAAGTCGAGAAAAGCACAGTTAAAAGATAAGTTGTTAGAAATTAGGGAGGACATTGAGGAAAATCAAATAACGGCTTTTGGCTTTAGTGATGATGGTTTCGTGTTGTATCATGATCGTATGTGTATTCTTGATAATTAAGAGATTAGAGAGACCATTTTGTTAGAAGCTCACAAGAGTAAGCTAACAATCTACCCTGGTACTACTAAGATATACCAATATATGAAGAAGTAGTAGTGGTGGCACAGAATGAAGTGAGATGTGACTGAGTTCATTTCAAAAAGTCAAAATAGAACACCAGAAGCCACTATGTTATTACAACCTTTAGAGATCCCAATGTGGAAATGGGATTACATGTCTATGGACTTCATAATAGGATTGCCACGTACTCTGGCAAATCATTATGCTATATGGGTGATCATGGATAGATTGACTAAGTCAACTCATTTTCTAGCCATTAGAGCAAACTATACCCTAGAGAGATTTACTGAGGTCTATGTCCAAGAGATAGTATGGTTGCATAGGATACTAAAAGAGATTATGTCAGATCACGATTTGAGGTTCACATCAAACTTCTAGAGAGCTTTACACTAGGCTATTGGTACTAAGTTGAAGTTAGTACAGCCTATCACCCCCAGACTAATAGTCAGACCAAGAGGACGATTCAAATTCTTAAGGATATGTTGCGAGTGTATGCTATTAAGTTTAGTAGAAGTCAGGATAAACACTTACCACTCGTGAAGTATGCTTATAACAACAGCTTTCATGCAAGTATTCAAATGGCTCCGTATGAAGCTTTGTATGGTCGAAAGTATCAATCACCTCTTTGTTGGATTGAGTTAAGTGAGAGGAGTATTTTGGCTCTAGATTTGGTGGATCAGACCATAGAGAAGATAAAGTAATTTGATAGAAGTTGTTAGCTGCCTAGAGTCGGCAAAAAAGTTATGCAAATAAGAGAAGGAGACTACTAGAGTTTATGGTAGGAGACCATATATTTTTAAAGATATCACCTATAACAAGTATTGGGAGGTCTATTTGAGCCAAGAAGTTGACTCCTAAATATATTAGTCCGTTTGATATTCTAGAGAGACTTGGGCCTTTGGCATATTGGATTGCATTATCCCTATATTTATCAGGTATACATGATGTGTTTCATGTCTCATAACTCAAGAAGTACTAACCAATCCATCTCACATTATTGAACCAAAAGAAGTGGAGCTATAAGAGAATTTGACCTACCAGACTGAGCCAGAAAGGATAGCTGATGTGAAAGATAAGCAACTAAGAAACAAACCTATCCATTTAGTAAAAGTGATATGGAAGGGAATAACTCTTGGAGATGCCACTTAGGAAACAGAGCAGCAAATGAGACAACAGTATCCCCATCTCTTCTAGTGAGGTAAGATTTACATGATTTACTAAATTTTGGGGACAAAAATCATAAAAAGAGGGGAGAGTTGTAATATCTGAGAATATTTAATCCTAGTTTACTAACCTAATGAGAGTAATAAGTGAGTTAATAAGGTGTGTGGCCAAAGGGACTTAACTTGGTGTATTTGTGGTGATTTCAGCCTTAGAAGTGGTTCTAGATCAATGGCGGGCCATTCGGGCAAGGAAAGAGGAAGAAAAAGTGAAGAATTGTCCTTTGTGCCACATATCGCGGCACATGGTTAGTCCACCGCGGCACACAGAGACAAATTTGAATGCAATAGACTCCTCTATGCCATGCGCTGTAGTTGAAGGCAACGTGCACCACGATGCACAGGTAAAAATCTGATAAATCAAATACGTTTTGCGTGTGAAAACAGGAGAAGAGGAGGAGAGGAAAATAAAGAGCTCAACTTAGGCTCTACTAAGGCATGGCATTGGCTTCCATTGTTGACATTTTGAAGCTTTCAAATATCCAAGGTAAGTTTATAGTGCTTTATTCTTTCTTTCTCTCCCTCATTTATGATGAGTTATAGTAGGGTTTGAGTTAGAAGATAGATTTTTGGTCTATAGGATTATGAGTCTAATTCTATTGGTTAAATTGAGTATCATGGGAGTTGTTTAAGGTATTGGAACACCACATTGATAATTTTAGAAATGATTGGTCTATGGGAGCATTTAATATCCAAAAATGGATATAAATATAGTAGTTAGGTGAGGTTTATTTGCATTAATGATTATTTAAGGTATTATTAGTGATAATGTGCATTAATGGAACTTAATGAGCCCATTGGGTATGAATGGGTAGTGACTATGTGTTGATAAAATAGAGTGTGTGGAGTTATGTAATAATAAATTTTCAAGATTGAGACAATGATGATATTCTTGTTGTATGATTATAGTGTGATTCATTTTATCACCATTCGAGCTTATTGAAACTTTGGGAAGTTGGTATAATGAGAGGTAAACCTTTGTTCTCTTAAAGGTTTGAAGTAATTGGGGGAAATTTAATCTTTATAGTTGAATGTTAATTGTGTTTGTGAAATGTGATTTATTATTTAAATTAATAATGCATGTTGGCAATGTGTTTGACTTGCAAAATGGTTTTGAAAAGGTAACCTTGATTATGCCACCCTTTGTGTTTTACAAAATTGATTGTGATTTGTTATTATGGATGGAGAATTGTGATGTATTATGTGCTGAATATGTGGAGTATTTGAGTTTATGTAAGTTCATGTACTATGAATTGATTGTTAAAATGCATATTATGTGAGAAATGTACATAGCATGATCATTAGTGGGAGTTTGCCTAGGGAGAGGAGTAGATTGATTTAAATCCACATGGTATTGGCAGTGACCATTGGAATCGGGAACTAGCCTTGGCACTGACCATTAAAATCAAGAGGTAGCCCTTATTCTATGGTTGACTCGGGACTGTCCTACTAGTTCTATGAGGGACTTGAACCTAACTAGTCTCCACCAGTTCATGAGGAGGTTAGATTAGGGGTACGACACCACATGGTTGCTAGCATTAGAAGAAATCAGATTACATAAGTAAGTGAGTTAACCTTGGCCCGGTGGCTCCTCATAAGTGGAAGGCTGGGTTAGTCTATGAAGGACGTAGCCACGTAATAGCCGCCGGTTTTATGTCAGAGGAATAGGAGAATATAAGTTTGGCATATGATCATACATATAAATCCAGTCATATGGTTGTTAGTTTTGTGGTCTGGCATATGTTGAGGGTGCATGGTTGTTATTTTTGCTACCTCGTGTTATGTTTTGTGAAATATCATGATAAAGTGCGTTTATAGTAAGCCCGGTCACATGGTTGTTAGTTTTGTGAACTGTGGCTGAGTGTTATATGTGGTATCTGTGTTTTTGCCTAATTACATCTATTTACAATTAATATGTAATTGTATGGGTTAGGTGAAACTTGGTTATTAAGGGGTTGTACTCACCCTTCAATTCTCAATATTTTCAAAACCTAGCTCATCAAATCTGAATCGGAGAAAGCACACAGAAGCCTAGGATCATGGAGTAATTCTCTTTATGCCTCTTTTGTTACTTTCATGTATATTTATTAATGTAATTGCCAACTAGGATCATTTGACATGATTTATGCACTACTTGTATGATTTTGTGTATAACTAGTATATATTGTGCCTTGGGTTGTGAGTTTTAGTTGTAAACCCATGGATAGAGCTAAAATACTTGTGTAAGTAAAAACATATGTATTTTGAAAGATTTAGGATGAAATTGATGATTTTGTGCAACATTTCCTCCACCTTTATGTTTTATGAAAATGAGGTTGATTGGTGATTTTATAAGTGTCTTCAATTGTGTGTAGTGCATTACACGAGTT